AGAAACAACCAATCGAAACACAAGGACACCGCAAGGAACAGGCGAAGCCAACGATTGCCGTCCTCAGGTCTAGCCGTCAGGCGAGCTAGATTGATGAGGCACTCTTGAGGGAACAGAGTTGTGGTGATCCAGACTTCCGTGACCGCAATCCATGCACGACTAGGTACAGTTTCATGTCATTCAATTACCGTTCAGGAAGCTCGACCAATGGTACACTGGGCGAACGTGACATTCGAGTTAGTACATATCATGCGTCGGCACAAACGGTTACGTAACTGGACGACGGCCCTTCAACCAATCATATGAGATATNAGAAGAATTGCATAAAGGACATATGCGGGTGGAGAAGATGAAATCCTTGACTCGACAGATGTGTTGGTGGCCGGAGTTGGACACAGACATTTACACAACAGCCAAGAACTGTGAGTCATGTTTACATAAATTACGAATAAGACCGAAAAACTGGACACCATGGCCGGAAAGTTAGACACCATTGCAAAGGGTTCATTTGGATTTATGTGGTCCAATTCTGAACCAGCACTACGCCCGTGTCCTGATCGTTTCATACTCCAAATGGCCAGAGGTATTCTTCTCGTCTACAACTACCACATCACTTGTGATACATGTACTACGGAAACGTTTTAGTCGCGAAGGGATTCCACAAGTGCTTGTGACGGACAACGGATCTCAGTTCTGTGCGACCGAAATGAAGCTTTGGATGGACAGCATCGACTGCCGACAGCTTCGAACTGCGCCTCGTCATCCCAGTTCGAACGGAGCGGCAGAGAATTTAGTCAAAACTGTCAAGAGTGCAATTGAGTGTGCCAATCCTAAAGCGCTACATGAGTTGGAAACGTTGGTGGATAATTTCCTACCCCAAAACCGAAACGCAACACATACAACCATCAAAGATAGCCCGGCAATGCATTTTAAATCCAGACGCTTGCGATCCTCCCTACAGTGCCTCGAGTCCAGTGACGTCGTATACTTCCGTGGTAATGATTTGCGACCCGCGTCCGGTATAATCACCCGACAAATGGGTCAAGCGATGGTGGAAATAACCGACTCGAATGATGCTACTGTGCACAAGCGACACGTGGACCTCCATGACCTCCGTGACCGCAATCCATGCACCAATAGGTACAGTTCCATGTCATCCAATCACCGTTCAGGAGGCTCGACCAATTGTACACCGGGCGAACATGACATCCGAGGTAGCACATATGATACGTCGGTGCAAACGGTAACGTGACCAGAGGATGCTCGTTCAATCAATCACATGGACAACAACATTCTATAAAACATGATCTAATTCCATCGATCAACGAAAGCATTTATTCCTATCAATTCCTCGTGAATTTAATTAGTCTCCGCCATTCGGGATGGAGCCAGACACGCTCTCAGCAAAACTGGAAGGATTCCTGTATTACAGAATACAATACACTTCCAAAAACTACTGAAGAGTGAAGGATAGGGTGGGGCGGGGGCGGATTAACTCCACGGTAAAGCCAATGCGACCACCATCTGCTTCTGAGCGCACAGAACGGGGTTCGTTCTTCCTATGGTTACGGCTCCCGCGAAGTTTAGCTGGTAGGGTCGTCTCGGACGGTAGACAATTCGGAATGCATCCGTTGGATTCACTCGGTGGCCAGTCTCCTTCATGTGTTTCGTGATAGAGCTTCGAGCGCTTCCAGTTGCGTTTGCCAGCAGCCATTTTGGAATGTGCTCCGAGATTCGTGTTCCCAAATGCCGCAACGTACGACCAACGTATCTGCATCCACCGATACAAGAGAATTCATAAATTACATTTCAGTTGGCGGCTGCGGGGATGGGACCCTTTCTCAGTGGCATCGGCACTCGATTTGACTGCTCAATGAAGACCAACTTGGCCGCATGGTACGTTCGATTGACTGCCGCATTGAGACGGCGTTTGATGAGAATCGATACGTCATCACCTTTATAGAGTAAACAAAGAAAAACACTTTTCCGGGGAACAGTTAGCAATGCATGTTTTTCTCCCCGCTGTCTGGCATACTTATCAACGAACTTTGCAGGGTAGCCGTTGTCCAACAGTGTTTCATACAGGACTGTTGTGTCTTTGTCAATTTTGTCGTTCGTGGCGATTTGGCGTGCTCGATCAAACAATGTACGTACCAGTCCACGCTTGTATGCTATTGGGGCAAAACTTTTAAAATGCAAGTATTGCCCTGACCAAGTTTTCTTATGGTAGGTACTTCTAGCCAGTGACCCGTCCACCCGTCGTTCCATGAGCACGTCTAAGAACGTCTAAGAACTCCATTTGTTTCCCTTTCGGTCGTAAACTTGATATTTGCATGTAACGCGTTCAGGTGGTGAAACACTTGATTCATCTGCCGCTCACTCGTACAGATCACGAAGACATCGTTAACACAGTGCCTATACAAGGGTACTGGTTGAAGAATCGCATGCGCTTTATCCTCAAGATAACCCATAAAAATATCTGCCAATACAGGTCCTAGAGTGCTTCCCATAGCTACTCCGTCTATTTGTTTATAATATTTGAAATCAAATACAATATGAACATGTGATGTGCATAAACTTAGCAATCTGCATAATTCCGGAAGTGGTACTTTAAGATGTAAGTTGTGCTCGGCTGCGTAAATTAAAACTGAAATTATTGAAATCACTTCCTGAACAGGAACATTTGTAAACAATGATTGTACATCAGATGATGACATTGCCTTGTTTTTGACGTTCATGTTGGCGATAACAATGATGAAGTCAAAAGCGTCTCGCAGGCTGTGTTTGCATAGACTCGATCACACCGGTTCAATTATTTCCACCAACCACTGGGCGAGTCCATGGTAGAGTGAATTGATCATTGACAATATCGGTCTCACTGGAGTTCCTGGCTTGTGTTTTCGACAACCCATAGATGCGCGGAGTAGCTGTTCCTACTGGTAGAAGTGTGTTCAGCGTCCTTTGGCCAATTACTCCATTCTGTTTTAGATCTTTGAGTTCCTGCGTTACCTGGCGCTCAACTTTCAACACAGCGTCGTTTTGATCAGGATCAACTTTGAATTTGGCTTCGTCAGAGAGGATATGCAGCATTTTGCTTACGTAGTCCTTCCAGTTCATCACGACAACGCCAGACAGAACCTTTTTCAGGTGTTTGAGATATTTTGTGTGGCAACCGTTTGATTAGCCGCGTTCGTTTTCCCAAAATCCTTACATTACCTGGTGAAAGTGAAGTAAATTGTAGGGAAAACTACAAACCCGTTCGATCAGCCTTACTTTGTTATGGTTAGGTTACCGCCGTGGTTCGGATCAATAGCCAGTTCACCACTCCGTCTCTATTCAACCCGAGTGTGACTGTCGACCTTAATCTTTAACATTGATGTTTCCTAATTTAGTGATTTTGGTTTTAAAGACTTGTCAGTGTTTTGCGTGAACGTTCGCATAATGTTTGTATGCAGCTTAAGAGATAATGCTATACAGTTGAATTCAATCTGTTCTTTGATGATGCTTCTTCTTGCTCTTATGAAATTTCGAAAGAGCAGTTGACATTAAGTTTATAAAGCGGTGCCGCCCAAGCGGGAAATTTCAGTGAACAACTTTGTGGATTGGCGATGTTCCACTGTAAGTGAAACAGGGAGTGCGCATTTCCACGATTCTTCCACAGACATGCAAATACCTACGCAGCAATAAGTTCTAAATATTTTTGTGTGCATTTACAGGCTTTTTGAAGCAACTCATTTAGCTTTGGCACTGTGATTCTTAGCGTAACCCTCCATGTGCAAGTTATTTGAGGTATACTGCAGAATTTCTGATTGATTCTAACCACATTCAATCCCCTGCTGATTCGCGCGTATGAAAAGTCGCATTTTCTAAGGTGTTCCCACATTTTAACAAACCAACCTTGTAGGTAACAGCATAAGTTCCCTCCCCAGTATGCCGCAATTACTGATATTTACTTGGTCGCTGACGAACGGATCAACCAATATGTAACGTCGCATTCAGCCATTGACTTTTCACCCTAGTATGACATACGGGGCTGTTCCCCTAGTAAGGAAGGCACATAGATATCACCAGTCAGAGATGTGACAATATGTTGGAAATGTTGAATGAGCCAGATGCAACTCATTGTTGTATAGTAAANAATTCACTTGATATTTCAACGAAAACTATTTATAATGTCCAATAGAAGGATTATTGGAGAATTTGTCAACTCTGGTGCATCTGAGGGAAGATACTGCCTGAAAACCAACGATAAGGTCAAGGCAGTTATATATATATATATATATATATATATATATATATATT